AGAATTTTTTTGTGGAGGAGACACATCCACAATAAAAAAATCGTCACGCAATTAAACTCGTGAACTTGACAAAAGTATGCTACATATGTTCTTACACACACACATATATATCTCTATATAATATATAATCACAATTTACGTATACAAACCACTAAATTCTCTAATTTTTTGCCTAACCTAACATTACGTTCAACATTTTAAAATCTGCCGTAATAATTACAATATATACGATTTTTATATACACAATTAATTAACTTATTAGCAGCTTTATCAATGCATCCACAACAACATTTATACAACACACCTCGAACTTTCCTATGCTGTACGCAGAGCTGGCACTAGACCACCCAAAATTGCACATAACACAAAATATTTCACCAACATTCACTTTTCAAAAAATGTGTTCCATATATTCAATAATTTTGTTCTAGATTTGAAACACTACAGATCAAGTGATCGACTCAGTTGGACCGCCCTTTACCGTGCCCCCGCATTACGGGTCCGAACGTAATGTCACACTAGGTCAGGCAATAAGTTTGTAACATCTCAATAGCAAGGCAATTTTATTTTGACTTAATTGAAAATAAATTGATTAAAACTTTTTTAAAAAATCTGAATATACTAAATTTTGAATCAATTTGTATTTGGGGTAAACAGGATATTATCATTTTTTTTATGCATGTGGAGGGTCAACTGAAGCTTTATAGGGGGACGGAAGTTGTTGAAAATACTACTCCAAAAAGAAAATTTATGTTACGTACTTCACGGACAACACCCTAAAGGCATTTCAACTGTTCACCTTATCACACGCCGGAATTATTCAGTAGTTACTGTTCCACCAAACGCTGTTCTGCCATTAGAATTCGATCAGAGGGCCTCGTGATCCACACACCCAAAATCCATATAGCACAGTGCGGCTAGTACCGCAACAAAATGGGGGTTGCAAGATCCGTCGAACGATGGAAATGTAATTTACAAAATTCAGAATAACAAAGTATAATAAAACCCAGCAATCATGCAAATTAATTAAAAGTTTAATAAAAAGTCTGAATTCAAACATTACTTACACGAACGTAAGAACACACTCTATGTCAGGTATGTTTTAGCTACCTTGCACACGTTTTCTGGCTTTGATTTTCAGTACAGGCAAGTATTTTTTATACTGTCTCGCCTTCCAAACTCATCGTACGAAGGAAAGGTATGGTAATCGTGACGGCCGAAAAACAAACTTCTCGGCATAGAAAAAGTCTTATAGTCGAGCTCTCAGGTACGTAAAAGTGGATAATCACTCTTGCCTAAATTTCGGGGGAAAAAACCACCCGTAACACGTGATTAAAGCCAGAATCCATGTTTTTTTTAGTTTTTAATACGTGTCCGTCCGTGTGTGGCTCAACGCGAGCAGCTAAATCGTTCAGCCGATTTTCTCCAAAATTGAGTATTCCCCATTTGCTCTAGCTGATATCCGCGTCCCCCTGGATTTTTGAAACTTGAATTTTTTTGGCGGAGGGGGGTACTTTTACACAAACGTCTCACAGACATTTTCAAAAAAAACAAGCTCCAATTTTTAAAATAAAGTAGTGCGAATACACGTTTCAGAGAATTGAGCACGTCCCCAGCATCTTCCCCGCTAATATCCCCTGGTTGTTTTGAAATTTCGAAAAAAAAAATTAAACATAAAATTAGCAAAATTGCATGGATAGAGGTTCTTGGCTCAGACAAGTTGTCCTGTCTGAACAAAATAATTTAAGTTTCTGAATAAAAGGCGCAAGTCGAACATATTTTTGAAAAATTAGTTAGTTTTTCGAAGTAATTTGCGTCTTAAATTTAGGAAAAACTTCTCAAAAACCGCTCAAAATTTTTCTTTAAATTTTCTTCACATAAGTAAATACAAGGGACAGTGAAGAAATATGGCGCTTAATCGCCATTTCGGCGTATTGCTCTCGTTTTTGGTTCCCAGAAAATTGCAAAAGATGCCAAAATTCACTACTTTTCTACTTTTATAGGCGTTTCCACTTCCTCAGCCGGATTCCTCTCTATTTTGCCCCGTTTCCAGCTTCTTCTATCGCGACCACCGGTCTTCCGTCCATTCTTCTTTCCCGCATGGCTTCCAGTTACTCCGGTATTCCCCGTTTTTGCGAGGCTTCCTCGTTTTTTTCCTTCCTCGGAAGAGACCAGATCGAGGACCGGTTCTTGGGCCACCTTGTATCCCTGACATTCTACTCTCTAGTGCGCCATGCATTGGTAACATTTTACTATCTAATCTGTCACCACTGCATTCCGACTTGCTGCACCGGTTTCCGAAAAATTCTACGTTTCTGATTTTTCCCATTCTCAAATTCGGCAAGCTCCTTTCTATAATCATGTCAATTTCCCCAATGCACAATAAATTTCTGTTCTCCCTGGCTCTAGCAACTAACGTAGGCCCATACAACTCATCTCTACTACCCATACGTAGCCTCTAGCGAATACTCTCAAAATAAAGTTCTTTACCAATAACCCAGAAAATTTGTTCTTACATGAATTTCCGGACTCCCATAGTACCCACCCATTCACGCATTCTTCATAGCTCGCTTTGCCATCGTTTTAAATGCGGTGCCGTCAATATCCCTTTCACAATTTCCCAGACGACCTTATCACGGATTGTACCGCAAACTATTTAACCTGTTTCTATACTAACTTAATCCTTCCTACTCCCTTGTACATCAAATCAAACTCTCCTCCTACATCACATTGTGGGCGTCGCTTAACACGAGTGGCAGAGCAAACCCTTAGGTCGATGAAACGTACGCTGGCGGGCGGACGAAGGGTGAGCCCTGAACATCCCGGGGTAGTTGCGCTCCTGCGCGGTTGACCTCACAGGTAGTGCCGCAGAGCCACAAATACCGAGGCGTGTAAAACTCCGGAGGATGCTGCCGGCGAGGCCCTCGTTTAGGAAGCACGGCAGCCAACGCTTAAGAATTCTGTGATGTGGGCGTTAAACCAAGGCGCCTCGCGAGCCTATCTATGGAACAGCTGGTGGGCTTCGCGTTCCTGTCAGAGCCTCCCACCTCATTTTAACGCGACGCCATCTGCGCCCGCGTTCCTCATTTCAGTTTGCATCAGGAAGCCTTGGTACGTGTGTACACAGGGTTGACTGTAGGTGTAGTGGTGGGACGATACTAGTCCGAGCAGTAAGGGCCAGACATATCTCTCGCGTGCTGCTGTACGGCCACCGTGTCGCCACACGCCGTCGGTTAAATTTTGGGCCGTCAGCCATGTGACGGTTAATTGTCACGGGGACGGAGGTCCGACACACCGCCGCCATCACGTGTCCGATGGTCCGGCTTGTATTTTCTGCGGTAAATGCGCCTGTTCTGAAAGGAATAGGTTCCGTGTCCGGCAGTGTTTTAATAGCTTAGCAATTCATTGTAACTTGTACATAATCTTAATTATATATATTTTTCTTTTGTTATTGCAACTTTATTCTTATTTCACTACGTTCACAACATACTCTGTTTTTTTTCAGATTTAATTTAAGCGACACTGTAACATGCTCTACTATATTCCCGGGTCATATATTCTGGCATCATATCTATCTGAGCCTAATCAGTTACCAGATCACGTTCCGCAAATAGTAGGAATGTATTGCTTGTCTGTTACAACGCCCATTCCTTTGGACATGAAGCATTCCAACCTTAAGGACCTCTTCTAAATAAATTTTAAAAGAGTACGGAGACATTCCACATCCTCTGCCTTAACTCTTTAGTAGTTTTAAAATCCTCAGAAATTAATTTCCCGATTTTTTGACCAAGGTTCGGGGTAGTCCACATACATTTTCTTTAATGAGTGAAAGAAGAGCAATTCTTCAATTTGTAAAAATTTCATAGTCGCCTCCACAATCGTTCACGTCATAGGCCACTGAGTCAATATGCTTTCCCCACGGTCAATAAAAAACCTAATGAAGCTTCTCTTCCCTTCTGACTCATTTCTTCTCACACATTTCTTTGCTAATAAAAAATGTTTATCCATACAGGGACTGTCCCTCTGTAAAATCAGCTGCCTTACTTATCTGAGAATGTCACTGGACTCCTTAGCCTGCCGAACTACTTTTCTTCTCAACTAGTTTGCTCAAGAGTCTTACCAATTGATGCCATTACCACCCGGTATTGGACCCCGACTAACTTGTTTGAGTATCTTCTTACTTCCCTTCTTGTGAATAGCCGAATATATGTATGATTCCATTCAGTTGGCGTAAATTGTCCATAGAAATTCCAAAAATCATAAATAATGCTTTTCGAATATCTCGACCAAGATGGACTGAACTTGTGTTCTTATATTATATACATTGCAATTCATAAAATAAGTTGCAGCTAGTTTCACAATCAAAGACAGCAAAAAATTGGGTATTCTCCTCCTCAGATATTGTGCCCAAACCTGTTCTGCCAAACCAAGACCCTCGAACTCGTAAGAGAGGCTCATTTTGGTTTAAAAGACAACTGATGGCCCTACGTTTAAAAGAAGTAAATTAACGTGTCGGCCCAAGAGTATACGAGCTATAGAGTTAATGAGCGTGATACCTACATTGCACTTGCGGAAGCTGGGAGCGCCTGAGATGACAGAACGATGTGCCTTCGTTGGTTGCTTTTTGATTTCAAAAAATGATTTCAATAACCACATGTTATATTGCTGCTACATCTTGAAAAATGAATGTCTTTCAAATGGAAAATGTATCATTCCTACAAATTTTAAGAATTCTTTTGATTATCAAGCGTAAATCCACTGTTGCCACCTAAGCACATCTTTAAGCTAATAATCATAGATTAAAATGTGTTTTTCTGTTCAGTGTCTCTTGCTCTCTGTGATTTAAGTACAGTGTGTAGTTTGATCAAAATTCTGATTATACAAATAATCACAGTACAGGTAAGTGCTTAAATATTGATACTTGTTGGACAATTGTTACAAACTGGGGCGAAGGCATATGACCTTGCATTACAGGTAAAGGAATAATGAACATTCAGCTAAAATGAATATTCACTTTTTATTATCACAAACATAACAAAATTTATACTTCTTGGGTATAAATAACATGGAATGTGTTTCTTTAACACTTTTTTCGATGGAGGAAAATCACTTAATTAAAAATAACTAAAAATATTTTAATGTCAAGTAAAACACAAGAGTGAGAATCTTGACATGGTGGAATCTTTACTAACAAAGACCAATTGACAATTTGCTGGCAAGTTGAAAAACAACTTTGAATTAACTATTATTTAATTACAATCTGCAGATTTTATGAAATAGGAAAAAAGGAATGAATGTGAGAGTTAAAAGTCAAATGATATTCAATGAATATTACCTATGCAGGAGAGAATTTTAAGTAGTGTTTACAAAACTACTTATTTGTAAAATTAATGTCGACCCATACCTCATTGAAAATCCCTGCTTAAATGTAAAAATATTACAATTTTACCTTTACTCTCCTCTCTCTGTAGTATATTTAAAGATATTCATACTAACACCTTAATACTTAAACATGGAAAGTACATAACATAATGAAGATCCATTTCACACAATCTCCTGAGAGAGAGAAAACAACTATTCGTGAATTACATGGTTATATCTATTTATGATATCAGTTAGCTGCCAATACAACTGCTCTTCTAATATGTTTAATAATAACATCTAAGGCATTACTCACTCCAGTTGTGGAATGAAGAACAAAAATAATCATTCAACAATTACATTTTAAATTTCATAGTTATCTTTGTTTAAATGTTCCATTCTCAGCTTGGATGAGTGTTTTTAATCACTACAAGGCAGGCACATGCCCGACCTGTACTCAGAGGTGCCATCTAGAAGAGAAAGATGAAATATAATGTTTTGTATTCTCATATGTTATTTGCACGAGGCACATTGAGAAAGTATGTTTCTGTAGGTTGTTAACAAAAAGAAAGTAATTCTATGGAAACCTTACTGAAGAAGATGTGGTGCAGCACATGTTGCACTATTTTTCCACATAACTGAGACATTTGCAGTGACGACTGGTAGGGTGGGCTGCAGGGCTGCAGCCCCACTAGTCCTTGTGAGAATTATTTAATTTCTCTTTCGTATTAAAATAAAATACGCAAAATAGTAATTCTTTCAATTACACGACCAATGTAGTCCACTACTGATGCCTGTGTAACTTGCGAAAAGCTTCTGCAGTTTTCTGCTGCGATTCCATTTTCCTCCCTGGGACTGTCAGTCCTGGCTGCATACAGAGAAGTATGGGCATAGTTGATTTCGCTTCCTCCACTGTTTATGTTTCTCAATATTGAGACTCTAGAGGCTGCAGAAAAGGCAGTCCCTTCCTCAGTTTTGGGAGAAATTCTCACGATTTTTAAAGCTCTGATGGACGTATGATATGGTAAAGATGCTGTATATTGTATTTTTCTGATTTTTTTTTACTTCCTTGCTACACAGTAGAGAGAAAGTTACGTAATACTGTGTGAAATAACAGCGAATTTTCGGCAGGGAAACTCTTTATTACAGGGTCCTGGTAACAATAAAGTAGATAAATTCAGTTGCTCAATTTAGAAATACAAATCCTCAAACATATCTCCTCTCATGGTGTGGCCAGAATTCATGTTCTGCAGGTACTTCATACCGAAAAATTGAATGACTGCAAACATGTTATTGGATAGCGTGAAGGGTGTTTAAGAGAATGGTGCAAGTCTCATTTTCATTAAAATTTCAGATTTTTCGAGCAATTTTTCAAAAGATTTTCAGAGTTTTCGTAGAAAATAAATATTGAAGATAGATATTTTTTCCTTAATGAAATCTGTTCTTTACAGATAGATTTTGAAATAAGGTCATGTACAATTTTTTGAAAATTTGAGAACTTTTCACTTAATTTTGCATGAAGGTATTGGTGAGAAAGTACACGCTGTTCTAGCACCACTAGTTTGTGTTTAGAATGGATATAAACAGTAATTTTGTTCAACATTTGAAAACTATGAAATTTAGAAGCTCAACTCTTCAAGAAAAGTGTGATATAAAATCTTGCGGTAGACCTACACAGGTATTGAACATACATCAATGCATTTTCTATTTTTGCATTCAGCCCCCTTTAATTAAAGGCACCAGCTGCCTCTGGACATTTTGTCATAATGTGTAACAAACATTTGTATCCCTGTGTCATAAAAGTCTGCTATCTGAGATAGGTACCACTATTGACAGCCACCTACAACTCTGCGTCACCCATAATGCTGACAGAACAGGAATCTCTTGAGGTGTAAGAAAAGAAGACAATCGCTGGGGATGAGATCCGAACAGTATGGTGGATGGTCACACTGTTGGCCACACATGATTTGCCTCACAACAGATCTTCTACAGGAGTTTTTCTGGGAGTGTTTGACCATCCACTCTCGCCCCATCATTTTCCATCTTTTCTTTTAACTCAAGAAATTCCTATCTGGTCATCATTACACAAGGCACAATGATGTCAAGTTGTAGGTGGCCTAATGCAAGTGACAGATTTCTATGTACAAATGTACAAATACAAAATTTCTATGAACAAATACAAATGTTGATTCCATGGTGTGTGGCAAAGGTCTCAATTCTGGTAGTGCGAATGTGGAAAATAGTACAACACATGATGTATCTGCTACAAATAAGTTATGCCATGAAATTGTGTTTTCTTTTTGTTAACAACTAAGGGAATCTTAGTTTCTGGGCGGTCCTCTGGATTTATTCTTTACTTCCTCATGTAGTTAAAAGTATTCTTATGTGTCAGTTTTCAATTTATGTCATTTTATGAAATTGATTAATAACATACCTGTTGCCACTCATTTGTCTGTGGATCATAAGCTTCTACCACTTTCAAGCAATGTTGCCCATCAAATCCTCCAACTGCAAATAGTAGATCACCTAACAAACATACACCAAGTGCATCTCTGCCAATACTCATTGATGCTATAATAGTCCAAGTATCAGTCTTTGGGTCATACCTGTAACATAAAATAACAAAAGCATGTACCTAAATAAACAAAATTTAGCCAGATCTAGCACAAGTTGATGTTAATGATCATGGCAATTTATTTTATCTTGACGAGGTTCACAAATGAATCATACTGAATTACATTTTTTATTATTATTAATTAGTATTATCAGGTTTAAATTTAAAATTTAAACCTGATAAGACCAGAGTTTTTACCGAAAGGTTAAACAGGATGTATAATGTATGTTAAGTAATCAAACAAAATTGGTATTCTTTCTTATTGATTTTTATGGTGATGGCTTTTGTACACTGTCAATGTAATTCTTTTGGAAATAAATTTATTATCATTATCATTATTATTCTTATTCTTATTCTTATTGTTGTTGTTGTTGTTGTTGTTGTTGTTGTTGTTGTTGTTGTTATTGTTATTATTATTAAATCAGATTCGGTATACACTTCCTCAGACTACTATCAGAAACAGATTATTTCGTGTTATGATGTACAATAGAGAGTAGAGTGAGTGTATACTGAGAACAATCCATTAAATAGAATGTATAAATTATGGAATTCATGTTAAATCAACATTTTCCGTATAGGTTATTATGCTTTTATTAGATTGGCGAAAGCTCAGATTATGCGTTATGAATGAGTTTATATGCCATGATTTCATGAGTTAAATATGTATGTTGTAAGTGACTGTGGTAGCTTATATGAAAATAAATGTATAAATAATCATTTTTATCTTTTTGTGGTTATAACCATATTTTAATTTTTCTTATCTTGATTTTTGTACTTGTTCACTGTTGTCTTGAGGCATATCTTTTTAAAGGGTTCATCCTGTTCATTTAAATAAATAAATAATTCTTATAATAGCGACATGCACATGTTCTTCCTTTGTTATATTGATTTTTAAAGAATTGAGGTTAATCTCCCATGTTAAAAAAGGTAAAGGCATTTGCATTAAATTTTGAACAAAACTCTTCAAACCTTTTACAATTGTTTAAAAAATGAAATCATCAAAAGACAGCAGTTGTAAACCAAGATGTTTCATCAATCTCAATAGCTTGTAAGTTATGTGACAGACATTCTGAAGGAAGAATAATTAAATATTACCATTAATCCTTTGCCCTCGTATGGATTGTCTGAGATGAAAACTTGAGTTGACTTCTCAGCTTGTGTGCCTGCAGAAAGCGTGTTGTCCTACAGGTCAGAAGGCATCTCTGTGATGAAACAAGAAAATGGCGTGCTGACTCAGAGGGTTTGCCTACTTCGGACTTTTATCAGCTTGTCCATTGTTTCGTAGACTCGCAAGCAGATGCATCACATTTAATTCATTTGGCACTACATTTTAAGCAGTATTATATTTGTTCGTTATAAGTTTTGCTATACACACATATTCACAATAAACAAGATATTTGAATAATAAATTCAAAAAATTATAATATATTTTCTTTCATTTTGAAAATTATGTTCCAAATATACACATTTTAGAGGCTATATTTATTGGCTACATAATTTTAGAAATAAACAAGTTGATACATTGCAAGAAAACAATTCTTTTTTTTTATTCTAAGATTGATCTATACAGAAATTATTTTTACATTTTCTATATATTTACATCCTCTAAATTGTCCATTTTGCACTTAGTTACAGCTCCAAAATCCATCCTGTAATGAACTATGTACAACATCTTTTAGAGAAAGAGAAGAAAGAGTGTGGCAAAACATTTGATGAGATAGCATTTGTATACGTATTTCGATAGATCCATCTCTTTTGAATTCGTGACACTGTCTCATTGTTGGATGGAGATCTTATCAAGAAATATGAAGAATGGCAGCTGTCATCTCTGAGATGCCCTCCAAATGGCTCACAAAATGAATGCTATCATCTGAGAGATGCCTTGTGACCTGTCGGGTGAACCACCTTCTTGAAATTTCTGATCTGTGAGTAATTGAAACCATGTCATCTTACAAATGTCCTCCACCATGAAGAATGTTTTAAGTTATAAAGTGCATCTGACCGCAAAGAGTTAAGATAAGGGACTTCTGGGAACATACATTCACTTTTAGAGAAGGGATATGGTTCCCATAACTTTGTCAAAAACAAAAGGAGGATGACAAATTCATATTCACACAATATTTTTATATTATTAGTTTTGTGCTAACTGAAATGAGAAATTATCTGCTTACACAATTTGAAGATTTTATTCAAATTCAATCTGGCCTTTTAGTGTCATAATATTTATATTATTTATATAAAACATACATCGGGTGTCTGGAAACCATTACAAAAGTCTACCATAGATTCAGTGTTGAATTTCATGGAGAATGGCATATTCAATTTTTCCAAAAAAATTGTGTCATTAAGAAAATGAGGTTTAAATATTACTTCCAGGTTCAAAATACACTCCATTAAATCTATGTAAAATCATTTTCTAATAAATTATATCTCCAGCAGGAAATTAACAAAACTCGTGGAAGGTTCAAATTATTGAAATTCAAAGGAATTGTAAGCATATTACAGAGTAAACTAATGTCTTATGCTTTAGATACAAGTGTTTGATAAATCAAAATTCCCCCAACCATTCTAACAGCATTTTTTTGCTAAAACATTAGTTCCTTAAAAAACTATTCGTAAAATGTTAGTGTATTGATTAATTCTGGCAGCCAGTTCGAACTGTTGCTTTAGTTAGTTTCATTTTAGGCTGCTTCAGGTTAACAAAAACCTACTTTAGATAACCTAGTAAATGATTGTAAACACAAAATGAAACTCGAAAACATCAGTGTGCATCAAACTCTAATGTGCAGATATAAACTTAATATTTTAATGAACAAATATTTTAGCTGCAAAACACTTAGTATAGGATATTAATGATAGAAACAGCAGGGGACATTCATTTATCATATGTAGCTATCTCAAACACTACACTAAAGACAGGCTAAAAATAATTCATGCAATTCAGTTTTGATAATTTCCATAAGACTTTACTTGAGTACACCGTTCATTGTTTTGCCACCGCAAACCATGGTTATAATTTATGGCAAAAATACGCAAAGAGTAGTTTTAATAGACCGAGTGCTTGATGAGAAACAATGCTATAGATGGCACAATTGTAAATGCTGATGTCTGCTGTGATGCTACAGCAAGTTGAATTTCACACCCAGAAGTAACAATTATTTTCCTATTTCTTAAATCATTTCAACACATATAGATGTATAGTCTATTTTATAACAAAATTAAAGAACACCCAAAAATCACAACAGCTATTACAGACTCATCTTGCTAATAGTTCCATAGCGAGTATTTACTCGTATAACAAAGTTTTAATGAAAGTGTAATTAATGAAGACACTCAAACTTATATATACCACAGGGGCAGCACTCTACAAATTCTACCATTCAGACACTCATCAGTATATGTTTGATAGTATGTTTGCAAAACAAATATAATGTAATCCATGCAACTTTTCTTGACTCAAAAAGTTCAGGAACAACACTCCGTAGAGAAATTGGATGATAATTCTCAATTTTGTTCTTGTCTCCTGATTGAAAAATACGTAAAATAAAATATGATTTCTATTCTGTTCGAAATGAACCTACGAAAAGGGATTTCACAAACAGAATCCTCAACAAATGAGACATAATGAATTTGGATTTCTTGAACAAAATCAAGGGTACCTCACTAGGTCAAGAACTGCTATTTACATCAAGATTGTCTACCTTTTGCAGAACATCTGAAAGAGTAATATGAAATGTGTTCAAGTGAAAAGACATTTGATCTATCGAAGAATCATTTTGGTTGTTAGAAGATATATAAAATGTAGAAAAATAATTAGCAAAAAACATTTGCTTATTATTTACTAGCATAACTAACGTTAGAGCTAGAGCTACGTTAAATATTTCATTATTCAACTCAATTTATTAAGACTTTTTTCTCCCGGAAAAATTGACTCTGCTTTTTTTTTCATAAAATTCAACTTTCAATCTGGATAATTTTTTGTAATGGGTGCTTCCATATAATATTGTTTTAGAATGCTTGTAAAATTTCACCAAATTTTTAATTAATATACTTTCATTTAATTCAGGAAAAGACAGGGTTTTCAGATGTGGAACACTCTTCAAAGGAGTGCGTTATAATTTGCTTCAAAGGGGGAGAGGGAAATTTAAGGGCAGAGAGAAAATATCCCTTTTTCTGATAGAATGCATTTCAGAAGATATCATACCTAATTTTAAATATCTATGTCCTAATATTTGATTTCAACAAAAATGTGCCAAAACAAAGCCAGTAAATGTCATTTATATTTTTTTAAATTAATGAATTGTTTCAATTTTAATCATTTAAAGAATGAGGTTGACATTTGTAAGACAGAGTTATTGCCATGGACACCTAATCAATGAAGTAAAGCTTGAAGTTAATCACTGAGAAACCTAAATGGAAAATAGGTTTTTTCAGAAATTGCCAAGAACAACTAAACAGTGGTACACTAACAAAAGAAAACAAAAAAACAAACTAAATTATCACTTTACCTTTCGACTGAATCAAACACAGATGCAGAGGGATTTGAAGCAGGAGCATCATGACCACCCAAAGCATACAAGTATCCATTAACTACACCAACTCCCAGACCACCTCTGCGTTTTGCCATGGATGCACATGACATCCACTTATTCGTATGAGGATCAAAACATTCAACAGTTCTCAAACATGAACTTCCATCTCGACCACCGACTGCATACAATCTGCCAAAAAAATAATATCCAACAATTTTAAGCAATTCATCACCCATTTTACTTCATTAATATAAATCATGTTCAGTAGAAAATGTTATTTTTTAATATATAGTGAAGAAAAAAAAAGCAACATTTAGAATATTACTACACTAAGTAAATCAACAATACTACAACTCTCGACACTATAACATGGATAAAGGTATTCTCAAAAACCAGATTCCAAAGTGTATTTCTTCTAACAATAACAGATTTTTATCGTTTTGTTATGCACTCATGGGTCATGTAGATTCATTGCATTTTAAGAACTCAATATCTCATGGAGCCATAGGTGCAAGACTTTGAGATCGAGTAACATCCTGTGTTGAACGGCTCTGCATCTGGCGGTGAGGGTACCGCAAGATGAACAGAAGGGCATTCTTTCGATTGTGCTTGATGCTTGTCATTGCTATACTCCTCGCGCCAAAAGGCGTCACATGCATTTCATAGAATTTATTGGTGTAGTTGCATTGTGTTTTTCTCATGCCAAATCTTTCACGCATGATTCTTGTGTTTGTGTCTGTTAGAGTAACATAATATTCTCTCTGCACTATATAGTTCTCATAATGTGTAAAATTTTGATCTCCAAAATGTTGACGACTCTATAGTTTGTTACTCAATGAATTACAAAGAAGATCCGCAATTACTAGTCTTCGTGCTGAAATTTAACAAATGCTAACTAAATACAGAAGACAAGAAAATCAAAATATGATCCTATGGAATCACAGTACAAAAAGAAAAATGTGGCAAGTCTGCTGCAAGGAAAAAAAATTGTTGCACAAAATATGCTTGCATAACAAGAGATAATTTTTGTGTGTGTTAGTGTAAACATAATTTATTTATTTAAATAAATAAATAATGTTTACACTAACACACTTTCTTGGGGGAAAACTGCTGCTAAATGTAAATCTACATTTTATATTAATGTTCATGTTTATGAAATAATTATGTTGTGGTATTCTTTAATATCGATTTACACAATATTCTCTTTTCTTCTTCCACAGCAGAATATAAAATGAATCATTTATAATATACACAATAAAAACTAAAATTTATTCCTCTAATACCATCTTAACACTTCTTCTGACAACACAGATAATACATTTTCTCCAAAAGATCCATAGAATATTCTAGAAAACAAAAAATGTATAATGAGTCTATTAGACCCAGCCTGCCTAAACACGTTCCAAAAAATGACAAACAAAGAGTTTAGGAACAAACACCTGTGAATTAAACTTCTGAAATGTAAATACCTGCTGAAATGGCCACTTCCATTAAGAAGTCAGCTTTGTGGAGCTAATGTATTTTTTAACATAACACATGTAAATATTCCCTCATTTAAGTGGTCATTTGACCATACGGTCAGTGGGCACGGAGATTTTGTACATTAACCTTTATTAGTTGATCACAACTTACTCATATATTTCAATTTTGAGCCATTTCTTTAATTGATGCTGACCGACTTTGTTCACTCAAGAAGAATCCCATCATATGGCCACCAAATCCCTTTCGAGAACACATATCTCTACATGACAAATGACATGGTGCTTTTCAAAGTTCATTCCCAAATTAAAAATATTCAATACCATTTCTTAGAGACAGCATTGCCATTTAAAAACAAATTCATGGTCACCATACAAAAATTGAGTGGGTCACTTAGAACAATTTTCAGCAGTACAATTGAAAAATTTTATCTGACTGATGGAGTGTGCATAAACATATTGTGGTCATGTGCAATCAAGATAACAAAGAAAATATAAGTTTCCTTCCATCTAAGTGCTGATGTAAAATTTAGTCAGAATAAAAATTAAATCAATGCAAGATTATGAATTTTTATAATAATTCATTTTAAATAATTTTTCATTGTTTACATGTCTGTTTGGATGCTTGTTCTAGTAATATACAAGTGGATTTTTTCTTGCTTATTCAAGGTAAAATAAATGCCTGAGTTTCCCGGCTCTATTCATAACACATTTTAAAAAAAACATACATATTAACATATCTAGTAATTTTATGAGTGTTACTACTGCATAGGCTAAAAGCTAAAAATCAAGGTGGAGCCTTACAGTGTTGAGATTTTAAATTGGACAAGGCAGTAATAACACTGACATTTTGTGGTATGTTCATTTTATTGATCACCATCAATTCTCAGGATTTACTCAACAATTTACAATCGTGATTGTAAACAAATGAATTTTGTTGTTGTGGCATGTTAGTACAATATTAGGGACGTTGCTTGCGATATATCTATTTAAACAACATTCTTATACCGTGGTTAAAGAAAGATGGATGTAAATAATACACCTGAACCTAAAGATCCCTAAAATAATGTTATTTAGTGAGGACGTTGGTGCCTTGTCTTCAAGTGGCGACATCACATTGTCTGTAAATATGATTACTTGAGGATTTCATTTGCTGGAATGACATGAAAATGAAATTAATTTACCTAATATATATTTTGCTAACTGTACTATTAATTAGCAATAATTATCTGAAACACTAATACGAGTTACTATTATTCTGAATTGGTTGAATCTGACAAGTTTTGTACCTCACCACGTCTTTCTCTTAATAAGTATTTGACTAGTGTTGAATCAATGGTTATTTATTTATGTTGCTAAGGATGATAATTTTCTTACCATACTATAAATGCTGTATAAACCTGTAATATTGGGCAATTGTCTGTTTAGAAAGTAATAAATAAATAAACAAACATACAGTAGGTACAATTGCTCTTCTATCTCTATTCCTTCAATTTAATCTCATTACTAAATCTATTCCTTCAATTTAATTTTACATTGATTTCAAATCACAGGTTGTATCTGAGCACCCACGCTGTGGATTAAGATTCCCAGAAGGCCTTAATCACCAAAACTATAAGAGGTTCAAAAAGTTCACATTTCGTTGAAAGAAATAACTTCAGAAATATAACTAGACTGGTCCCTCTAAAACTTGTGATGTGTGTTGTAGTATTCTGTTTCCTATGACGTGATCTGTAAACTTGGGAAGTAATTCCCTATATAACTAGTTAAATTACAGGCTTTTGTGTTGATAGTTCCTTATATATTATTATAAATCATATCTCTTCTTAGTGTATTAAATATAGAGCAGATAGCTATTTCATTCTCACAGTAATGAAATAAATTCTTACTTATTGTTTAGTACAGCAACACCGACTGTAGACCGCGGTGTTGACATTGGCGCGACAAAACTCCACTGACGAGCCTGTGGGTCCCATCGCTCAACAGTATTTAGGTAACTCCAGCCATCATGACCTCCAACAGCATACAGTGGTCCTTCTAGAACTCCAACACCTGTTTCATTCATATCCCAACGTACATGAGAATAATATGACAAAAAGTTAATTTATATGATTATATCTCTTCTTTGTGTGTAGAGTGTTATATCCAAAAACGACAAAAAAAGTGATTTTATAATAGGTGTATGTAAAAAAAAGTTGGATCTACTTGTGGGTTTAAGAGCCAAGTCTCAGGCAACTTTTACACTGAGTAATTTGTTTGTAAAATTTGGAAATGTGAGATAAATCTCTTACATTTTGCACTATAAAGGGCTAAGTCCAGATTTTACTGAAAAAAACATTGAACTAGAGGACTGATCAATGGTTACCTAGCACATGTCATTTTGTTGAGATAGATTTCAAAAGTAAAAATACAAATAATAGTAAAACTTTTTTCTCAAAACTATTATTTGAACAAAACACCCTGTAAGCAGCAAGCAGTTATTAGAGCACCTTAACATCTGTACTTGTTAAAGATCTTTATTACAAAATATGTAACTTATAAAGTTCATTTATTTAGGATTTTTACATTTCTGGTTTTTAGCATTTTAAAGTACTGCATGGTCACTCAGAGGGAAGACACTCCACCATTTATTTTTTACATAGAACATGGGAGTTTTCCAAGATATATGAATATTTCCTAGCTCTAAATTCAATGACAATGCTCCCTTATTGTTTCTTTTAATTACAAATTCAGTCCTAATTGTTTAAAATAGTTTGAGAAATACAGCTGAGTCATTCCACATCAAAACAAACACCGTTTTGACCTTAGCTGTTTTAAAGTGATTGAAAGTTCTTGAATGTTTTCTGAGGGTAGCTAAAAGAGGCTTTAAATGTTTTTGTTAGAATTTAACTTAATTATTTTGGAATTTATGCCATATGAAATTTTCAAAAAAAGGATGCATAACAAACAAATGAAAATGCTTATTTCTCCTGCCACATTAATTCTACAGAACTGAGATTGGTCTCAAATAAACGCTCAACACAGTAATTTATGACTAATTATAATTTGATATAATTGTTAAATACCAACTCTTAATTAAACCTCAAATTATAATAATAATTTCAATTTTACCAAAATAAAATTTCATTTTAAAAATAATATCACATTCTCAGTTTAATGACCGACAAATGTCCAAAATTTCAAATTGGAATATTTATAAATAAAGTAATTAAAAATTATTAATTGAAACTGTGGGCAGCCACATATGATTGTAATGTATTGTATTTTGGCAACACCACCAAAAGATAGACAACATTAGAAAATCTGCAGCCATTTCAATATACAATTAAGACGCCACAGAAATTATTTGAGCGGGCAAAAAAATGATAGTGTATTCATTTGAAGTTTTTGAAAAATGATAACCAGAAAAAATAATGTAAATATTGAAATCCCAGTATGAAATAGTGAAACTAACTATACAAAAATACACTTTCATAGATATTATTTTACGAACTTTTGTAAAATGTATATTAATGAATTTAAACTACTACTTCTACAATTTCAACTACTCAATGTTATACAGATTTGTGAATTGTTGAAAAGTTTATTTTACAAAATTCCATTTAAAGTAAAATTTGCTTGAAATGACTTCAACGTTTAAACAAACAATGAACAAGTTACAAATCTAGAGTATATTCTGGTGAGTGAATTTTCCTTTGTTGTTTTCTTCACTGTTTTCTTCCACAATCAGTGAAGAACAGAAAACATATTTCCAGCATTTGATTTACATCACCACTGTATCATCAAATTGTAATAATTTATATCATACTTAAAGGGAAAGGATGATTGGTAATTGCTAAAATATTTGTGCCATTTACATCAAATAGCACAGTTAAAGATGTTAAAGAGGGATTTGTCATGATATTGGATACTTCAATGGGAAATATCCAGAGGGGGCCGAAGAAAAGATGGACAGAAGAGGGGTCCTAATAAGCTAAATGATAGCCTAAAACAATATGGTGGTAATAAATAGAGAAGTTACACCAACGTTCAATAGAGGAGACATGCAAGTCAATAATTGACCTGTCTATCGCCAACCAGCTGTTAACAAGTCACATTGAAGAATGGGAAGTCTTAGAGAAAGAGTCACTAAGTGACCATATCTAGATATACTTTAGG